GATTGTTTTTGTGTGTAAATGTATGTGTCATGTGTGTATGACTGTGTTTGTGTGTGTACACATGTGCACGTGGAGGCCGGAGTTCAATGCTGAGCCTCTTCCTCTATTGCTGTCCACGTTAATTTTTTTCATCACAGAATTTTTGTTACTAGGAAAGATCGTTGCATCTAATAGTGTTGACTCTTTAAGTACATTCAGTATACACATGCCAAGAGTCAGCTAGAGTCTTCTCTATCCCGGAGAAAAGTGCCAGGCCTTGATTCAAGCAGCCACCTTAGATTTTAAGACAAGGTCTTGCACTGAGCCCGGACTGCCCTGGTTGTCTAGCCTGGCTGGCCAGAAGGCCCCGGGTGACCAGTCTATCCTGCAGCACCACCTTCCAGTGCTGAGGAGGGTACGGGCGTGTGCCGCCACACCTGACTTCACAGGGCACTGGGGTCCAAATGCAGGTCATCATCCTCACACTGTTGGCACCTTACCAAGTGAGCCATCTCCCCCTCCCTCGTTAGGTTTTTAACGCGCCATTCACACCCACTGGCTAAACTGGCTGTTCGCAGGTGCGCCAATACCCACCATTCACAGTGCTGCCCCAGAGCAGGGTTCTAGACCGAGCCACCCTGAGGCGCTCTGCAGTGCAGGTGGACTTGAGTAACCGTGCCCAGCACTGGACACACGAAAGGAAACACTAGTGACTTCTAGAATGAGAAGTCAGCTCTGCTCTGCTCTGATTTGGTTTTGCCAAAGATCTGAAAAGAACTCTCCCAAGCTTCCTTAAGAAGGGAAGGCGGAACTCAATAGTTATGAGCTCTGGCACTTTTATTAGGTGGTGGAGTTTTGCAAATGTAATCCCCTGCCCCCACCCTCTCTCCTACATGTGGAAAATGTTTTTCTCTTGAATGTAAAGTTCATTCACATAATCACTGGACTGCTTCTGGGAGGCTTCTCATGCCAACCTCAGGGCTGGCATGGGTGACCATCACTGAAGGACCTCTCCATTCCATCACTCCCCCAGCATCCTTCCAGTAACTGCAGTGGATTAGGCACTTTCCTTCAAGGCAATTAGGAAAGCTCTAGGGAACAAGCAAGGGCAGCTGTTGCTATGTGATTGTCTGTTTTGCCAAGACGCAGGGAAAACAAGTGAGCTAAGAGCAGTTGGGAAGTGGAGATTATGAAGGGCGACTGAAGAGTCCCATCAGCCATCGCTTTCCTCCTCCACCCCACACAACCCCCAGAACCTCTGTACCAGCTGGCCAGAGCCCAAAGTTATGAAATCACAGAATCGTGTATGTGCTCAGTGCTCCGTAAACTCCTGGGACAAGACCGCGCTTTTGATTGAGTCATTGGTCCCTCTGCCACTTGATTTTGAGCAGCCAAGAAAACTGGAGGATTCACCGTCATAGATGGATCCACTCTTTTCTTTACTAGTTGATTTTAAGAACGGCGGACACAAAGAGAGCTTATGTGGACATGTTTTATTTGCCTTTTAGGTGTTGCTCTTATGCCAAATCCATTTTACAGATTAAGAAATTGAGGCTCCAAGGGCATAAGCGACTTACTTAAGATTGTGAAGAGCTGAGATTCAGTCTCAGACTGTTGGGTTTGGGGACTCCTTACCCTTTCGCTCCCCCCTCCAGCCCCTTCCCTTTTCTTCCCATTGTTTATACATATGGTGTGCCTGTCTGTCCGTGTGGTGGGAGAGGGGAATGCACTTGTCACAGCTCCTGTGGTAGTCAGAGGACAACCTCTGCGGCCACCACTTGTTTTCCACAACAATTGAAAGAGAACTCTTTGTCATTTGCTGGTATGCCAGCTCCCAAGGATATTGCTGTGGCTGTCTTCCATCTTGTAGGAATACTGGGGCTATAGGTGCACGTTACCTATAACGTTCTGGATATTTGAACTCAGTTCCTCATGCTTGAATGGCAAGTGCTGTTACCCACAGAGCCATCTTCATAGCCCAGAGTTGCCATTCTAAAGTAGTACAGTTCTCTGAATTGCCCAGTCATACATAACTGGAAGAATTAGACAGTTTCAGCCAGACTTGGCCTGCAGCTCAGTGGTAGAATACTTGCCTAGCATGTGCACAGCCCTGGGTTTGACAAAATAAATAACTATAGATAAATAGATCACAACAAATAAAAAAAATTGACACTTGCATCAAAAAACATCTGTTTTGTTTGATCTGTGCACCAAAGTCAAGTCCTTAACAGCAGTCATATCCCTGTGCACATTGGAAGAACAGGCTGACTTGCCACGGTGACTTCAAAACAAAGTGCTGGGAAGCCCGGGGAAGGGAAACTGCTGCGCGTTGACACCACACTGCACTCTGGTATTTGCTGATGGGCACAACTCCTGGCATCTGAAGCGCTTTCCTAACTGTGACAATACTGAGCGGGATTAGCCCAGATCAATGGCGCCTGCTCTTCCCAGCTCACAAAAGCCTTCTCTCGTGCTCCAGGGTCACCCGGCAACGAGAGCTTCACCAACAAGGCTGCTGCCACTTCGTTCTGCCAAGGTGCACGGCACCTGGGGAAGAATGAAGAAAGTCAGGGAAAAAAGTCTCTCGCCCCGCAGAGGTGACCACACCGTCCTGTCTGTAGGGTCCTGTGGATGAACACGGCCTTTAAATGGATGGGCAAACAGGCGTTTCTGTTTGTGACGTAGGTCTCAGTCAAACAACTGTAGGGAAATGGATGTTTAAGCAAAAACTTGGTGTGGCAGGTGCTCACAGAACCCTGTACACAGTAGTAAAAGGTAGCAGTAACTCCAATGTCCATGATGAGACAAATGGCTAATCATACTGTAGTATTAGCTACACAATGGGATGATGCTTATCCAAAAAGGAGTCGGGATAAGTCATGAAGCCCTGTATGAGTGAATAACCCAGACGGTAACAGTGAATGGGCAAATGATTGCACTTCTGTGAAGTATCCTGAATAGGTAAATCTACAGCCACTCTGGAGCCTAAAGCAGATAAGTGGTTGGATGGGGAGAAGAGAGAATGGGGAGGTACTGATTAATAGGCACATAATTTCCTTTTGAAGTAATTTCTAAAATGCCAACACTCACCCTTGCTAGGTAAACCTACCAAAAGATGACAAGAGACAGGCCTTGTACTAAAAGAGGAGGCAGAAAAGGGAAGGTTGGCCCCAGGGCTGGGAGGGATCTAATGGCCAAACATGACTCAACCCAGGCCTTTCATGGACTATTTGTGTCCTGGGGGAAAGCAAATGTTTGTGTGGCTTTCCTGACAATTGCTGTGACCCCAGTAGGAAGCTCAGTGATTGAGCAGGAAGTCTCAATATCCAACAGTGGTGGCTTGAGAAAGCAGAGAAACCCTAGGTAGGTAGCCTCCACAGGACGGACCTATTTGCAGGGTTGGGGAGCAGCTCCCGTTTGGACCAACCATGCTGGCCCCTGACCCCTCCCTGAGTTGTCTTCACTTCCTTCCTGTACACTGGGTCCTGCCTGCACCTGAGATTGCCACCACAGCTTCTGGTTGCTCTGCTTCTGCACCATCCGACCTGTTCCTGCCCAGTGAACTAGCAAGTCAAGGTTTGGGTTCTAGAAGAGAAGAACATGCAGGCATCTGGGAACCCTGGAAAGATGGGTGTGGCTACTATATGGGAGACCACTGACCTTGGCATTTAAGTGTGTGGCTTCCCCAGATCTACATACTAATTCCACAACAAGGAACTCCTCCCCAGAGTATAAAGCTATAGCTTCATTTTAATGTGTAAAGTTGACTGTGAAAGAGAACCCACAGAGTGGTCACCCTTAACAGTTAATCCCAAGCGCTGTGTAAGGGTTACCATGGCAACTTCCTTGGCCCTTGTGCATGGTTCCTCCCCTATTGTTCTTCAGCAACTTTAGCTTTTCTTTCAGAATAAGCTTGACACATAGTTACACATTTAGGCTTGGAGTCTACTTTCTGCTGAGCGTTCTCTCCAGCAAGAGGGTGATGGAAGGATGTCTCTGGATGGAGAAGGGGTGAGAGGCTGTGCTTAAGAGTTTACCTGGTCATGCTGCGCTCTCTGCACAGGCACCCTTCCCTGGAATGGCATCTGCTGTCTCTTAAGCTTACTTTTCTCATCTTTAGAATGGACCCCAATCATTCCTACCTCGATAAAATCTCATTCTGGACTCAAATTGGACTCTGTGTGGTTGGAAGATAAGCATGACTTTCTGACCCCCTTGCCTCTACCTCCTGAGCACCGGGATTCTGGGAATCGGCCACCACATCTTGGTTAATCAGGTGCCAGGGTGGAGCCAGGGCTTTGCTGTTTACAGCTCAGGAGTAGACAGAGCAATTTAAGTAGTGCAGATATAGAAGGAAGAAGATGCTCCATTTACGGCTATGAAATGGAGCTGGGGGAATGTCTTGCTGCTCATTCTGGTCTTGACTTCACAATCTTCCTGCCTCATCCTCCCAAAGTGCTAAATTATAGACATTTACCACCATGCCTGCCTGTCATAAATAATTTTTATATTAGTTATATGTTGAAATAACAAGATTTTGGATTTTAATGAGTAGATTTAATTGATGGATATTAATGATACTAATTAATTATTTAGGTGAAATGAGATATATTATCTAAAACATTCTCACTTGTTTCTTTTTTTTCAAATAAGATGGAGAAAACTTAGAATTACACATATTATTTTTCTATGGGCTATTTCTATAGAACGTTCTCAACATACCATTAGTATAGCAGATCTTCAAAATCTCATTTATGCTTAAGGGTGAAACAGGCTTTTGGCGTGTAGATAAGAACAGTGTTTTCTGAGACTCAAAAATGCATCAGACCAGGGCTGGGGCATAGCTCAATGGTAGAGCACCGTCACGCACAAGGCCCGGAGTTTGAGCCCCAGTGCTGCAAGAAAAAGTGTAAGGAAGTCATGGTACATCCAGCCACGGAAGGCTTTCCCAGGCAGGCTTGTTAAGGGGGCATGTGGAAGTGTGGAGAGAGGCGGCTAGGCTGAGCTCTGGCATTTTCCAGGTCCGCTGTGACCCTGAGATTCAGGAGCTGCGCCAGTGGCAGAAGAAGCTACGCGAGGACAAGCACATCCGCCAGCGGGTGAAGATCTTCTGGGCCAAACAAGAGCAGAAGAGTGAGTGGCAGCCCCCACACCCCACCCCAACCCCACAGGTTATTTACCAAAACGCTAATCCTTTACCTGAGCTCAAGAGGGAAACTCAGAGGCCTGCAGAACTTGTCTATGCTGTGTGTGTACGTGTGTGTGTGTGTGTTTGTGTGTGTGTGTGTGAGTGTGTGTGTCCCGATAGAGAGTCCGCAGGATGTAATTCACATGGCCATTTCCCCCCTTCGAGAACAACTTCTGTGTCATCTTGTATCTGAGGGCTGTGATTTGGGGAGCTGTGTTAAGAGCAGAGCAGGCAGGTACTTACTCTCCCCAGCTCCTGGCCTGTGTCTGACCCTCAGTCTGACCCTTATTCCCATCTTCCTTTTGGCCATGGGCAATTCTGTGTGTCAGTTTGCCTGGGCTGGGGGATGCTCAGAGGGCGGGTGAGTGCCATTTCAGGGTATAAGCTGTGAGGGTGTTCCGATGCCGATGTGAGTTTGAACCTGTGGCCTGAACAAACAGATGCTCTCTCTGGTGGTGAGGACCCGAATAGGATGAAGGGTGAGGAAGGTTGAATCGACTGCCTGAATACACGGACGGCTGCTGATCCTCAGGCTTCAGCTGTGAGCTGTGAGCTCTCAAGCTCTCAAGCTCCTGATCCACCTCACCACACTCGAGGCGTGTTACCACATACACATGCACCCCTTATCTCAACACGTGTGTGGGCATATTAACACACAGGTATACAGCCCTCTACACTCCTCCCCAGCTTGCAGATGGCAGCCGGTGGGGTTTCTGTGAGCCTGCACTCTGGATCGCTAAGTCCCCTTGTTTATCTGTGTGTATATTTTTGTCCTGGAAAAAGAACATAGCCGAATGAATACCAGCATACTAATCATGGGGGGATTTTTGGTTTCCTCCCTTTTTTGGCAATCGTTTAAAGTTTAAAAATAAAAGACAATGGGGGTGGTGCTGGGGAGATGGCTCAGTTAGTGAAGTGCTTGCACGGGGACCTGAGCTGGGTCCCCAGAACCCAAGTGAAAAGCCAAATGCAGCAGTGTAAGGCCATAAGCCCCGTGCTGCCAGCTAGGGAGTGCAGGGTCTCTGCAGCTTGCCAACAGGACAGTCCAGTCTAGTCGGTGAACTTCGGAGTCACCCAGAGATGTTGTCTCAGTAAATAAGGTGAAGAAAGATACCCAACTTTACATCTGCCCTCCACATGCGTGAGCATATATGTGTACATATGCACAGCAATACGTATAGCACATGAACACACACACAGGAGCATGCGCACAAAAAGGAAAGAAGAGAAAAAAGGGAAAGGAAGAAAAAGGGAGGAAGGAAGAAGGAGAGGGAGGGAAGGGGGCAAAGAGGGAGGAAGGGAGAGAGAGAAGCAACTTCAGCAATTGCTCCTGTTGGACTGGCCCAACCCTGGCCTTTCTTTAGCCCTACTGGCATTTCAGTTCGGTTCAGAACTGGGGACTCAGACAGGGCTGTAATCAGTTTAAAGGTCACAGGAAGCACAGTGCACCTATTTATTGCTGCTGCTCTGTATTCTTTGGAGTTGATTCGCTGCTGGTTGATTGATGGGCTTGGCTTGCCGTGAAGCAGGAAGAATAGAGTGGACTGAGTGCCAGCAGGAGAGCACAGTAGAATCTGCAGTCCCAGCTGTTCCCATCTTGTCACCTTGAGAGAGCTCCAGGAGGCTCTGCCTCTTGGAAGACAGGGTCTTCAATAGATATCCCAATATGATGCTGATGCAGTGTGAGGCTGCCCTTTATGCTGAGGTTCTGAAATGGCCCTAGAGAACAGTTCAAATAAAACTAAAATGTTGGAAGAGTGTCTCAGGTCCACGGCCAGTCAGGAGGCAGGACAGTATTAGTGGCAGAACTGCCCCAGGACTCTAGCTACCACTTCCGTCTATGTGACCCTGATCTCGTTGACCTCACTGGGCCTCAGTTTTCCCATTCAGAATGGGACCAGTAATAACGTTCCTGTCACATCCAGCTGTTAAAGGAGTCCCGTGGATGATCTTTAGAAGGAGTCCTGGCACACAGCGGCCATGAATGTTTCTCACGGTCGCAGTAGTGTTGTTGAGATATCTGTGTGCGCTTTTGAGTGACTTGGTGTTTGTTTCCTTCGACTGACAGGCCTCAAACTCTGTGGATTCCAGGTAGGACAGTCTTTATCTTATTCACTGTGTTGCCCAGAGTGTCAACAGTGGTCTACACACATGGATTTGAGGCATGAAGCTCTTGGGCTTCATGTCACAGTAGAAACAAACAGAGGCCAGAGAGGTAGGTCTAAGGACTTGCCCACGGGGCCAGTGGGATGACTCAGTTGGTAAAGCCAGGCAGGTGTGAGGACCTGAATTTTATCTCCAGCACTCACATAGACATGGGGGAGAGTTGGCCCACCTGTGACCCCAGCTCTGGGGAGGGTGAGATGGAAGACCTGCTGGGGCTTGCTGGCCAGCTCTTCCTGCCAGTTGGTTAGCCCCAGGTTCAGTGAGAAACCTTGTCCAAACTTAGGGTGGAGAGGGATTGAGGAAGACGCCCAGTGCCAAACTCTGGCCCCACATGGACGCGTGTGCGCTTCTGGACATGTGTGAACAGTGGCGACTTCATTTTCTCACCTTCTATCGCTTCCTTAGGGACTGATGCAGGCGCAAGCTCCCCGCTCTGTCCTCTTCTGTGGTGCTGTAGCTGGAACCCAGGGTCCTACATCCCAGGCGGGCGGGCACCGTACCATCGAGCTGAACCCGGCCCCGGGAGCTGCTCTCGTGCATTTTATCATCAAAGCCACACTTCTGAGACTTTGTCTTAAACACGACACACGGCATGGCCAGTTTCCTGTTACTAGGGCATCAGAAGTCCTCCTGTCTGGGTTTGTGTGGACGGATCTGGGTTGGGGCTGAGTAAAGAGGAGCAGCGTGCAGCCGGGCACTCCCTGAGTTACCCAGAACTTCTTGCTTCCTTCAGGTATCACCAGGCAAATCATTTTATGCAGGGTCAGAAAACCAGATTTCCCTAGCCTAGGTGACACTGTAGTGACGCCTCAGAGACCTCCTATGTGGCGGTTTTTACTAAGCACAAGCAAACTGCCCTTTAGATTTGAAGAAAAAAGTGGAGTCATGGCAGGTGAAGGTAGTTTTGAATGTCATTTAAAAATTTCCATCTGCGTTGAAATCTTACAAGCAAATATTGCTCTAAAGTGTTCTTGCCTCATCGTGGTGTTCACAGTGTGCATAAGTTTACCACACGTGTCGTCCGAGCAGCCTCTTGTGGGCAACGAGTCTCTGGGAGGAACATCAGCTGTCAGGGTAGACTCTGGTCACGTGTGGTTAGGTCTCAGGTTACAGAGTCAGAGGCTACTGTCCCAGACAACATTCTTGTCCCAGATAGAAACAGTATGAAGTTCTCCAGTCTCTGTCCAGCAGGACAGGTGCACAAATTATTTTTAAATGTGTGTCTTTAGAATTTCAGCCAGAGCAGTCCAAAGATGCCTTGAGACTCGGTCACAAATCCCATCCCAAATAGTAGTATATTTCCAGTTGTGTTTTGTCAGTGATTGGTTTCACATGTTTTTTTTTTTTTTTTTTTTGTATGTGAATACCCTTCACTAAGCCCAATGGGCTCATACTGTGGTGAGCACAAGGCCAGAATAAACACAGCTGAAAAATTGAAGGGTAGAGAAAGATTTATTCCCTGGAGCGGGTGCGGAGGGCAAGGGAGTCAGTCACATTCGGAGCAGTGCTTTCTTTACAGAGGGAGGTGTGGGGGATTTTATTCAAAAAGCCCACGCATCTCCGTGGGGAAAAACACCTTAGGGGCAGGAGCATTGCCGAGCGTCTCTGCTAGGCATAGTTCAGGAGGGGTAGAAGGTGGGGTTACTCAGGGTGTCCTTAGACAGACACCTCTAGGCATGCTCAGCTAGGACTATGAGGACAATAGGCAGCTGCCTCTGGACATGCTCAGCTTTAAAAGTGGTGTGCGTGTGTGTGTGTGTGTGTTTTCACCCATTCATTTGTGTGTTTATAGATGCATGAGCGTGTGCATGCGCGTGAAGGCCGTAGGACAGACTCAGCTATCATTTCTCAGCTGCTCTCCATCTTATATTGCTTAGGAGTCTGGTTTGATTTTCAGATAGAGTTGGGGGTCTTTCACTTGCCCAAAGTGGCCAAGCAGACTAGACTGGTTAGCTAGGGAGCCCCAAGAAGCCTCGGGGATCCACCTGTCTCTGTCTCCCCGTGCTGAGTTATAGCCCTGGCTTTTTAAGTGTGGGTTCTGGGGAGCCAAACTCAGGCCCTCCTGCTTGCAGAGGAAGCGCTTTTTCAACCCAGCTATCTCCCCAGGCCTAAGATGTTTTATATAAAGCAGTGGTTCTCAGCCTTCCTAATGCTGCAACCCTTTAATGCACTTCTTTATGTTGTATTGACCCTACCCAACCATGTTTCATTGCTATTTCATATCTGTAATTTTGTTGCTGTTAGGAGTCATAACATAAATACCTGGTATGCAGGATATCTGATAGGTGTCCCTCAAAGGGGCCTATACCCATAGGTTGAGAAACAGTAATCTAAAAAAGAAAGAAAGAAAGAGAGAAAGAAAGAAAGAGAGAGAGAAAGAAAGAAAGAAAGAAAGAAAGAGAGAATGAAAGAAGAAAGAAGGAAGGAAAGAAAGTAGGAAAGAAAGAAAAGAAAGGAAGAAAGGGAAAGAAAGAAGAAAGCAGGAAAGAAAGAAAGTAGGAAAGAAAGAAAGAAAGAAAGAAAGAAAGAAAGAAAGGAAATAGAGATAGAAGAAAGAAAAGCACAAAGAGTCTGAGGTGTATTAATACAGGTGTTTGTTCCTAAAAATACTGGCCTCACTTAGAGGCTGCCATGTCCACATTTTATTTGACAATCTAAGAAGGGGCAGGCAAAACTCCAAAACCAAAAATCATGTTAATTGTTCCCATAACACTAGAATCTATTGTGCATGAGACAGACAGACAGATACACACACACACACACACACACACACACACAC